TTGAAAAATTCAGATACGGAGTAAAAAGATTCCAGGAGATAGGTTTTGGTTTTTGGTACAAATGTATCTCAAATATCAAAAATTCAGATACGCTTAACAATTTCCTCTATCTATCTCATTTCAATTGACTCTTAAATTTTTATTACAACTACATATGTTCAAAAAAGTCTTCTAAAAACCTCAAAAAGGCATATAATTAATAAGACAGACACAACAAAAAACAATGTAAATTAACATAGAGAAGGCTTGTAGATAAAAGAAAAATTGTCATCCAAAATATTTAAAATCACAAATAGTACGCGTTATATATTTGAAAGTTAAAATCACAAATAACGTGCGTAATATACTTCATGACTGAATTGATCGTAGTAAATATATCGTCTAAGACACGTCAAAAAAAAAAATATCGTCTAAGACAAAAAAAACTTTTAATATGTAATGTCGTCTATTATATATACACACACATACACCTAGACACTATGGTCGTTGGATCTTATAAATGTGAATCTATTCTTTCTTTTTTCACAATTCAACATGCTTTATTGAATGAAAATGGATGACACTTTTTCATATAACCGTAGATTTTTTATAGCTAGATGTCGAGATTCGCATAACGATAACTTTAACGAGATCCATATAATGATAACAACTAAACTACTATATATCTCTTAACTGAAAGAAAAAAAATCATCGCATACTATATATATATTAAAAACAGAAAAAATTACCCGATAAAGTCGGCCGGACAGCTTGCGACGTTCCTCAGCAATCCAGCCAAAGCGAAGCCAACAGTATTGAGGACAAGTATTGTCGAAGATATTAGACAAAGTATATGGTATGGTGTTCAACAACTTTCGACGTTTTCGATTTACCAATACAAGTGTCTCTCTCCCTGCTCGTGAGAGATTATCCACACTTTTCTCAAAACTCATCCCCACTGATGCTCTCCTCTGCCACTGCCACTGCCGCTTTGGCTTCTGCTTCGGCTTCTGGCGACGTCGTCCATTGGAACTTCCTTCGTCAACCTCCATGATCTTCTAATTTTTTGGTAACGAGTTTCACGGTTTTTGTAATCTAAAACACGATTTTATCAACTCGTACGCCTTATAAAGGTGTGAACATTTGTTGGCTCATCTTTTTTTTTTTCTCCATCAATAAAACTGTATCTTAAAAAGTTAGATGATAAGTATGTATTTGTTTCCATAAAATTTTTTCTAATTTTTAGTTAATGTATCTGAGTTTTCCTTTTAGGAATTAATAATTAATACATCTTTTTTATGGAGAAAATCTTATTAAAAATATTTAGTTAGACGAAAATTCAATTCTTTATTTTGTAACTATTATAAAAATAAGGAAACATATCATAATCCGCTTTGTTATTCAAAATTTTCACTAATTAAAGATAATGTTCTATCAAATTTAGACAATTAAGATCCATATACAGTAGATTTATGTGTGTGTATATATATATGTATACATTGTTTTCTTTTGATAAAAGATAATATATAGTAATGTTATATATTGTTGTAAGTGTTTTGTGAAGACAGCATGCCCAAAAATAAGAACAAGAATCGAATACTTGTCTATAGTTTAGTTTGTTATGAGAAGATTAAAGAGGACACGGAGATTTATCGGTGGTAGAGAAGAATAAAAAGAAAAAGTTAAACTATTTTTGAGTTTGAATTCATGTTTAAGATTTGCATATTTTTTGCCGTAAAAAAATTCAGTATTTTTGCTGTAACGAGAAATTAAAATATTTATAATTTTATAAATATTTATTGTAGCATTTAGATAGTTTTTATATTTTTAAGGGTTTTTACGATTTTAAGATTTATTTATTTATTAGAAATAAGTCGTTGAAAATATAATGACAACTACCGAAAATAATCTTCAGCATGAATGTCTTATTTATAATAAACTTCAAAAGCATTGGAAAATTCTAAAAAAAATATATG